GGGTTTAATATTTTTCCTAGAACTTTTTTTTTTTTTTTTTTTTTTTTTTTTTTTTTTTTTTTTTTTTTTTTTAAAAAAAAAAAAAAAAAAAAAAAAAAGAAAAAAAATACTTCTTTCTATCTACCTTGGCTGCTGCTAGGACTGTGAAACCTGGTGTAAGAGGGTAGAAAATCATACTCTGCTCACTAATTTCAGGTGTCTGCTTTTCCTGCAGGTAAACTGTGTGGTGATGCGAGGTTTCAATGAGGATGAACTGCTGGGCTTTGTGGATTTCACAAAGGATCTGCCTGTTGATGTGCGATTCATAGAATACATGCCCTTTGATGGTAAGCAGTCCTGATTCTTCATGGCATAGGGTGTGCCTTGGATGTAGGTGAATCTGGTGGTTTTTCATGCTGTGGGCTTGTCTCCGGAAGTTTTGGTGAGCTCTTTTGGGGAATTAGGAATTGCCTTAAGTTCTATGTTGTGTTTTTTGCAGCTTATCTGTTTACCCTGAATAAGCTGGAGAAGGACTAGGAGCAGGATTAGTTGGGGCTGGGACACCTACAGAGAAAACTGAGATTTGCGGAGAATGTAAAGGTGGTTCTTTGCTAATTAAAAAAGTAAAATTGACAGTCTAAAGTTATGCTGGTTTTGTTACTTCTAGGCAATAGATGGAATTTCAAGAAGATGGTGAGCTACAAGGAAATGCTTGATACAATTAAACAGAGATGGCCTGAATTGGAGAAATTGCCTTGTGAAGCTTCCAGCACAGCCAAGGTATGGGGATAGACGAAGAGCATGTCCCCATTCTTTCCCTGCCCTGAATCCTAGAATTCTCCCAAGCTTAGTATTTATATTTGACAAGGAAAGTTAAAAATACTTGGTGTAGTAGTTCTGGGATTTTGGTGAAGGTACCTGCATATGGTTTGACTCTTATTAAGCACTAGTCATAATCTTTACCTCTAGAAATACAACGTAATTACTAGATGCCTTGGTCAGATTTAAAGAATGACAGGCTTGTATCCTGTATTTACAGCTTTTGAAACTCTTGTCAGTCTATGTCTGCACATTAAGCCTCATGAAGCAGTTGTCCAGTGAAACAACAGTATTGCTTTAGAGTGTGCAGGGTGACATGGTGGATTTCTAGCCTTCATAGATCTATAGCTCATGGTTACCTGAGAAAGAACATGCCTACTGGCATTACCTGTCAGTTGATGAGTACAAAAGCAAACACATAACAACCTTGTGAATTTCCAGGAATAGGGCAGAATAGATGGGAACACCTGACAAAGCTCATTTTGATTTTTTTAAAAATTATTATTTTTAATTTTTTCCTCTCATGTGACCTTAGAACCAAAGAAAACCTGTGTTAAAATGTCTTTGGGCAAGTGGAACTTTAGAAGTGAGGAGTCTATATTTGACTCTCCTTTTTTCTTGTATTTCTTTAGAGTTATAAGGTGCCACATTTCCAGGGACAAATCAGCTTTATCACCTCCATGTCAGAGCACTTCTGTGGATCCTGCAATCGGCTGAGGATAACAGCAGATGGGAACCTAAAGGTTGGTAATAAAACGTGATTCTCTTTGCTGTCATGCAGCCTTTCTTCCCTTAAAAGTAGCTGGGATTTAAAGTAGAATGGAAAGATGCCTAATTATTACCAGCTAACTCCAGTTTATCTATCCTGTATATATTCTTGTTCAAGCTTGTTGGGCTGTTGGAGAGATGATACATCATCTTTTTTTGGTTTCTCTGTTTTGCTAACATAGTTAACTTCAGTTGTAAAACATGGTTGCAAGGCCGGTAAATATAAACATTTATTTTAATCTTTGAAAATCATCTTAAACATGTGACAAACAGATGATTTCCCATTAAAAAAGGATCCAAGCAGCTGTGAGGGCTTGGCTTTGGTGCTCCACAAGGATCCTGTCTTGTTTCACCAAACATCTTCGTGCAATTCTTCTCCTTCAAGAGCAGCCGGTACATTTGCTCAAGGGCTGTAGAAAGGGGAGGGATAACTATTTCCTGCCACGTTGAAACTGGCAGTTTCTGGAGGAAAATTAAAGTTTTCAATTAAAAATTGGCTCTTACGCATTGTCACCTGATATTGACACCAGCTGTGCTGCTGTCTAATGTCACATGACCGGGGCAGCCTGAAGGCCCAATGAGCTTGGGTTACATAAATGTCCCAGGCTGTCTGTCTGTGTACATGAAGACAGATAAAGAAAACAATCTCTATAAACGTTCTCTTTCTTCAATAGGATAGGCCTCTTCAAAAGTCTTTACTCTGAGGCTAGTACAAAATACTTGTAAAAGCCATTTATTTTATTCTTTCTCATTTCTCTTCTTTTGTGTCCTTGTGTTGGCTGCAGGTGTGCCTTTTTGGGAATTCAGAAGTGTCCTTGAGAGATCACCTGAGGTCAGGTGCCTCAGAGGAAGAGTTGGTTCAAATCATTGGAGCAGCAGTGGGCAGAAAAAAGAAACAGCATGCTGGTATGTTTGTTGTACCTGAGAAATTACCGCTTACTAGGGAACACAATGTCCTGGTGCTGCCATGGGATGCATTAACTTGCCAGGAGAAAGAAGGAAAAGCTTGAATGAAGCTGCATTAACTAAGGAAAGAATTTTCCTGTCTTAATAAGAGTATTGCCTAGTAGAAGGCTGGTAACATACCAGTCCTGCAGTTATTCCAAAATTTGGATTGAGTTTTGAGTCTTCAAACCTTCCACATGAGCTAGAATCCAGTCCATCTAAAAGTCTTTCAGATTGACTTTTGTCCTCTAAGAGATGCAAATGTCACTGTTCATGATACCAACAGCAAAGCATAAAGCTAAGTAAAAATTGTTGGAGTTGTACTGGATCCCCTTTTTTATTAAAATTAGTTTGCTGTAAAATAAGTACTACAGCTAAATTGAGCTGTCAGTCCAACTACTGGGTTAACATGTTCCTAGAAGTGACAAATCTTTTCTTGAGTATGGAAAAAATTTGTAGCCTTTCATCTGAGTGTCTGCATAATGTCATGATGCAAGGTCTGTGATGATACTGTCACATCCTCAGGCTGTATTAGTCTTTTCTGAATTTATATTGATATAAACTGTATTTCAGTCACATCTGAAACTCACCATATTTTCGTAATCTGGCTGCAGCAGGGAATGCTGACCTCTTGAACATGAACCGGCTTTATAATCATGGAATAGTCCAGTTTACACTAAAAATATGCTTTGGCCTTTTTGTTCTCTTGTAGATTCTGCCAGATTACTAACAGTTGGATTTGCCCTTGTTCATGATGTATAAAACAAATTTAAAGGAGGCTTTTAAATCTGAGTGTAGACTTACTTGCAAAGTACATTGGTCTGACCCAGATAAAATAGTAACTTGTAAACATAAGGGAAGGGGTGGAGGGATTGGTTCCTTTTCTTTTAGAGCATTAATTTCTGATTTGGGAAAGCGAGGGGTGGGCAGGGCGAAGAAGACTGGTTTTGCCTCTACTAAAGGCATTTTTGCCATCAGCAGCATTTACCTGACATTGTCTGCCTTCTTCCAAATTGTATTAATCCAAGTGTTGTCCTTGGGGCCTTCTGTGATTGGACTTTTTTTAACTGGAACACTGTGAACAGCTTATCCATAGAATGAGTACAGTTAAATGCTATTGTTAAGAAACAAGAGAGTCCAAAGTTATTTGAATTCTGTAGTAGGTAGACTCTAATTCAGATCAAGCTTTCTGGGAAAGGGTTCTACGCTGTGATAGACCCATAGCAGCTGGATGTTTAGAGTCTGTGGCAGCTATGGTTTTAAATAATAACACGGTAGATTCTCCCTCCTGTACCTGCCTCAGTCTTTATTTTCCTAGCATGCAGGTTGCACTGTGAAGATCAGAAAACTAAATATATAAACCAGATGCATGACTTAAAACCTAAAAAGCTAGGATTTTTATATGTTCCTTATTTTATTTCTAGGCATGTTTAACATTTCCCAGATGAAAAACCGGCCAATGATCCTGATTGGTGGGTGACAAATCAGTACGTAATAAATATACAATGATTTTGTTTGGTTTTTATCTTTTGGGGGAGCAGAGTGGGCTTTTAAGTCTAACTTGTGTTTGGTTCTGGCTGAGGTTTAGACAAAGAAATGGGTTTCTTAAAAGGCAGTTCTGGTTAACGTACTGAAGCGGAAGGGGGGGAAAGATTTACCAAGTCTTATCTAGTCTTCTGATTGACAGCACTGGTTTTGTTTTCTCTAATTTTGAAAGTTCGTTACATTTTCCAGAGGGATCACTAGCTTTCCTGTCTTACTTGCTATCTATCTGCTTCCTTTGTGCTTAATAAGAACAGTACTATAACTTAAAAGGCAGTTTGTGGTGAGTTTTATGAAATTGACCAGATTTGCCATATAAATGTAAAGGGTACGGGATGGACTTCTATGCCTGGATTAAGAAATTCAACTTTGCTTATAATGTATAGAGCCAGTGACCTCACAGAAATGTAAGTTTTCCCACCTCACAACTTCTTTACTTCAGAACCTCAAAGTTGGGGCTTCATTCTTTAAAACATCCTCTTATTGCTGCAAAATTTCAGAATGTAACCATGAAAACTGTAGCATCTGGTGTCTGACAAGTCCTATGAACCAAGAACCTTTCTTCTCCTCATTGTGTCTTTTGAAGATGTTTGTGAGCTCTCCCCTCTGCTTGAAGCTCTATTCTGCTGAGGTTCTCTTACTGGTGGTATATATCTTCAGTGTGGTTTTACCTCCTGCATACCTCCGTTTCCCTGTTTTGTAAGATAGCTATCCCCAAATACTTTTTTTGGCCTTCCTTAAACTTAAGAAATGGTTGTAAGAGTGAGCATTGTGAGATTGTTTTTCTGTTGTTTCTTATCAACAAGGGGATAAGAAAAAAAAAAAATCAATATTTTTTTAATGCAGCAAGGGTCAGAGAGATGAACATTATTTTTCAAACTCAAACTCTTATCCTGCTATTGATGTTCTAGAGCAGATTAGCTGCTGAGTGGCTTTAAACACAGATTTTAAAATAGGTACCCTTTGGGAGGGTAAAATGCATTAATTTGCAGGTCTTTGCTACAGGTGATATAATAACTGCTCTTTTTTTTTTTTTTTTTTTTTTTATGGTCCGTTTAGAGAGTTACCCAGAGAAAATACCCAAGGCTGTAAATCAGTTCTAACCTATAAAGCT